CCCTTTTCGCTTTCGTGGCGTCTCGCGCCGGGCAGGAGCGAGCGGAGGCCCAGGGCCGGCCCTGCTGGCTGTGCGGGCAGCCTGGAGGATGTCAGAGCTGGCCTTGAAGGCGGTAATTCCTCACTCTTTTCCCCCCCTACTCGGCAGCTCGGACTCCGAAGGTAATTTTGAGACCCCCGAAGCAGAAACGCCGACCCGCTCAGCACTAAGGGAGCTCTCCGAGCCGCCGCCGGGACCGCCGGAGCCCGAGCCCGGGAGCGCAGGTAAAGAGCCACTGTGAACCTTCTGCTTTCGGCTCTCTGCTCGGGAGGAGGAAGGGCAGGGTGGGGTCAAGGAGAAGTGCCTTGTTCTGAATAATGCCTGCCATGTTTTTTGTGGTCCGTGGCCTGGATGGTTCAGATACCCCTGCTTAGGGCTGTGTGGTGTTCTCTGGCTTGACTGAAATGCTGACGTGATTTAATAGCTTTGGAGGGAAGGGGCTGCACTGCAGGCTCAGAAGAGGCAATTTGCCCCCTCCTCGGCTCACACCTATGCAGTGCAAAATTGTCGTTGTGCTGTTTTGCAACCAGGGGTCACAGTTTTCTGCTGGCCCTGGGCTGGGAGGAAGTGAGGGGCTGCAGGGGGCAGAGCTCTGCCCACCGGGCTTGGGGAGCTGCTGCTCCAGGGCTGCTGAGATGGCTGATGTGGGCTGACCAAGAAGAGCCCAGTTTTTTTGTGAATCGTTTAGTCAGAAGTGCCCTTTGCCACTTCCCTCACACACAGGGCAGGGCTTGGGAAAAAAACCTGCTGTGAGGAGTGGGATGCCAGCTGGGGGGAGCTGCCCCACGTGCCCCTCACGTGCCACTCACCCTCGCCCCTCACATGGGAGATGATGTGGTGCTGGGTTTCTGACCTCTTCATGGCTGGTCAGTGGTGGAGGTTTCATAGCACAGGTCCCTTCCCCCGGGGTTAGCAGCCGTGGGTCTTTGCTCTGTAGCTGCTGTTAAAAATGCAAAAGCTTGATGCTGCCAAACTCCATGTCTGGAGAAATTGTGAGGGATCTGCTGAAAACACAGGAGGTTGCTTTGCCAGCAGCATCCTGTGCTGTAGCTGGTTTGTCCTTGCATCTCACATGGCTGTTGGTCCTCTGAGCACAGCTCCCCATTAACCCTTGGCCTTTTGTGCACAACCTCCCCCCCCACTGTCGTACTCTTCTCTCCAGGGGTGATCGTGGTTGGTCCCTGTGGATGAGCTTGCTGTTTGTCTGTTTTCATGCTGCTGAGAGGAGGCTTTGAAGGTCTGAAACCTCTGCAATAACTCCTGAGGTTATCAGGTCTGGGGCAGGGAGGAGACCTCCCCTTTCCTCTGCTCTCTCAAGCAGAGCAGGGTGGCTGGGCAATGTCAGGACATCTTTGAGACCCAGAGGTTTCAGGGGGAGGGCAGTCTGTCCAGGGCATGGGGCAGTGCATGGGAGGGCTGGGGGTCCTGGACAGGCCATCCTGAGCACCCTCTGCCCTGGCTGGCTGCTGCAGGGCCCTGCTGTGGGACTTGCAGCATCCTGCTGCTCTTGAATGTGGACAGCAAGGGCTGGCAGCTCACTGCTCTGCTGGCTGCAGAGCTCGAACCAGACCCTGGGTCCTGCCTGTGCAGGAGCCCAAGTGCTGCGTGACCTTGGCAGTGGCAGGGTGCTCTGTCTCTCCTATCTCCTGTGATGTTGTTTCACTGTTGGGATGGACCTGGGTGCCCATCCACCCACGTGGAAAACACTGGGTTTTTTTGCCTTGATGGAGAGAGAGCCTGGTTCATGCTTCCAATAATAGCAGCTCTTGGAATAATCCTTCCCTTTTAAGAGGGATGATAGAGGCACCTTTATTTTGGGGGATTCTGTCTGGGCAGGAGGTGAGGGGAGAGAAAGGCTTTCCTAGCAAGTATGAGAATCTTTTCTGCCCAGGCTTCTGCCTTGGCTCAGACTCCAGAGAGTCACCATCACCAAACTGAGGATGTGCCCCTGCTGCCTGATGAGCCCTTCCTGGAGCCAGCCCAGCAAGGCAGCAAGGGAACCAGCTGCTCCCGGCCCCCCACGCACAAAGGTCACAGTGTTGTGGGGCTGAGGGGATGATCTCGGGAAAAGGCTGTTTTTCCACACTGGCTGGTGGAGAGCAGGATGCTGGAGACAGCAGGGCTGAACCTGCAGTGCCTCTGCTCCCAGCTCCATCCCTTCCTTGCCCGGGGCTCTGGCTGCATCCCTTCCGTGTCTCTGAAATGGTGGAGAAGGGATTTCCCGGGTGCAGTTGTGAGTTCGTGGTGTGCAGGAGGGCCGCTCAGTCAGTGTCCTTTGGGTGATCTACACGTTCAGCCCCCGTGCTGCTCTGCAGCAGCCTGTGCCCTTTCCCGTGCTGCAGCTCAGCCTCAGCCGCCGCGCCGGGGGGGGAGGGGCGCGGGTGGAAAGGCGCGCGGGGCGGCGGAGCGGCTGCGGGGAGAGCTGCTGCCCGGGGCTGGCTGAGGAAAAGCTGCTGCCCGTGCTGGTGTGCAGGGGCACCAGCGCCGGGAGGGCACACGGGGGGACTGGCAGGAACAGAGCCCTGTCTGTCTCACAGCTGAGGTCTCACTCTGCCTTGGCAGTAAACAGGGTCAGGAAACTGGTGAGTGCGGGGCTGGCAGCTCTGCGGGCAGCTGCGGGGTGACCTGGATGCATCAAACCCTGTTCTCGGGGACAGAAATCCAGCTGGTCCCGTTGCCCCAGTTGCTGGGGGTGGAGCTTTATGCCCGTTCAGGATCACTCTGGCAGTTTTTGGATGGCGGAGGCTGTGATTCTGTTCTTTTCTGGCTAAAATAATCTCCAGTCATCTGCCAGGAGATGTTCCGTGCAAGGAAATGAGCAGGAGCACCAAATCTGGAACCATCAGTGATGGGAGCAGAGTCATCAGCTTTTGCTGCTGTTGCCCTGATGCAGGGCACGTGTTTTCCGGCGTTTGCCGGGATGCTAATTCTTAACAGAATAGATTTAAAAATAGATCAACGGCTGTTAAACAGAAGCGGAAAGCCGAGAGAGGAAAGAAGTCGTTAGCGACGTCAGCCTGAGCGGAACGTGCGGCCAGATACCCTGTCTGGGGCTGCAGACACTGGCGGGTTGTTCTCCCGGGCGATTGGCACTCAGGGCCGTGCCGGGGATCCCGGCTGCCCCGCCTGGCTGCGGTGTGTGGGATGAGGAGGGCGCGGAGCCTTTTGCATCGCGGCGCTGCTGCCAAGTTTCAGTGATTCATCCCGGGGAGCCAGGGGTGGCAGGAAGGCTCCTTGGGTAGTCGCTGTTTGCGTTTCCCTTCAGGCTCAGGAGGAGCAGGACAAGGACTGTAATGCACACACACCGAGTGCTGCTCCTGCTGTGCAACACAATCTGTACCATTTCCTTTGGCCAGTATAAAATCTCCCCTCTCCCTCTGCACTGTCCCCCCTGTGTCCAGAGCAGGACCAGGGGCCCGTCTGCACTGCTGGGGCAGCTGCCGTTGTCAGGGATCCTGCCCGCAACTGGGTCTGTGTTTGGGGCTGGTCCTGGGCTCACTGAGCATGCCTTGCTGCTGGCAGGTCCGTGTTCATGCTGGGACATGGATGGGGTTCCTGTGGCAAGCTCCTTGAGCAGTCAGTCCTTCACCCACCCCCCAACTCTTCCAGTATATTCCAGTTCCTCAGCGTCCCAGACTGGCTGAGCAGGCGGGCTGTGCTGGAGGCTGGGTGTCTGAGTGGAGGAGCTGGGCTGTCTCGGGTGCAGAAAACAAGTGAATCACAGAACTGGAAGACCTGGGCAGGCAGTTCTCATTTTTGTGAAGAAGTGGCTGTTGTGAGCAGTGGTCACACACACCATCCCTCCCCTCCCCGCCCTGCAGACACCCGCAGCAAGGAGCAGTGGTTTGCATGCCGACTGCTTGTTATTCCAGAAGTAATTACTCGTTGCTTGGGTTAGAAACCAGGATGGGCTCATGTCTGTGAGAACGGCGGCTGCAAAACCTTCCGGTGGGAATGTGAAATGCATTTAAAAGGTGCCTTTTGCCCTGACTTTGAAGTCTGCTCTTCTATTCAGGGCTGTCTCGGTGAGGTTTAAAACATCTGAGCAACACAGCAAGAGTAATAAACTTTTCTTTGGGGTCTGGTAGGGAGGTTTTCCTGGTTCCTAATGATGAGAGGGCTTGGCAGGCTCTGCCTCAGAGTGTTTTCTGGCTGCACTCCAAGTACACTTCCACTGGATTTGTGTTTATTGATGCTTTTCTGGGGCAGCAAGACAGTGTCTATTTGGAGGGAGCTTTTCTGCAGTCCGAGGGAGCTTTTTTTTGCAGTCTCAGGGAGCACACAGCCCCTCATGATTCATTTCCATGGCTTTTTAGCATCCTTGAGATCAATTATGTCAACCACAAGCCATCAGCTGAGTCAGGGCTGCTGGCTCTGTGTCCTGGATTAGCCCAGGGACCAGATATTTGCCGGGGACAGAAATCCAGCTGGTCCCGTTGCCCCAGTTGCTGGGGGTGGAGCTTTATGCCCGTTCAGGATCACTCTGGCAGTTTTTGGATGGCGGAGGCTGTGATTCTGTTCTTTTCTGGCTAAAATAATCTCCAGTCATCTGCCAGGAGATGTTCCGTGCAAGGAAATGAGCAGGAGCACCAAATCTGGAACCATCAGTGATGGGAGCAGAGTCATCAGCTTTTGCTGCTGTTGCCCTGATGCAGGGCACGTGTTTTCCGGCGTTTGCCGGGATGCTAATTCTTAACAGAATACATTTAAAAATAGATCAACGGCTGTTAAACAGAAGCGGAAAGCCGAGAGAGGAAAGAAGTCGTTAGCGACGTCAGCCTGAGCGGAACGTGCGGCCAGATACCCTGTGCTGAGCCCGCCGTGCCAGGGCAGGGCAGCTCGGGCTGC